GTAAATGAGCAGCCGAGTTTGCGCTTTTATGACTGACTGATCTTGTTTATAATGCAGAGCATTGTCCCAAGATGGCCTTGGTGACTGTCTCATAATAGATATCATGGCTGAAGATGCAGCATGTTTTGTCTGAATGTGTTGGGACAAGAAAATATTTGATGGCATTTAAATTAAAATATATTAGAAATAGCAACATAACCATCTTCTCTGATAAAGCCAGGCAGCGATTAAGGTTGCACAACATAAAAATTATACAGATGAAATCATTAAAATCAGTGTACAACTAATTGCTGCCAGATAGATGAGAAAATAAGATTCTTTATTATCGGACTTAGGTAAACTCTTTTTTTTAAGAGTTGTGTGAAAATTACATCTGCTTGGAGAGCAGGACTGTGAAACAGCTTGACTCTAACCAAGACAGTTTCTTTTGAAGAATTACATTTAGCGACCGCTAAAGACTCCGAATGACACAAAACAATTTTCTTGCTTCAGATTCTAATTATTAGAGCAGAATCCTCTTTGGTAGGGCCCATTCATGGGCACCATGTCTTGAATAAAGGCTAGGATAATGAAGAGGAGGGTGAGTATTATCTATCTGGTGCAATCATCATAGTAACTGAGCAATGAAATATGAGTAAATAAAACCAATCAAGGTCCAATAACTGAGCAATGAAATATGAGTAAATAAAACCAATCAAAGTCCAATAACTAGAATATACAGGGAGTCCCCGGGTTACGTACAAGATAGGGACCGTAGGTTTGTTCTTAAGTTGAATTTGTATGTAAGTCAGAAATAGTGTCCAGATTCAGCCACTGTTGAAACTGACCAGCAGCAGCTGAATCGGACACGCCTGGGGCAGAGCAGCTGGAGTGCTGCTGGGTTGGTCTGGTAGCGCCGACCCTTGGCGCGGCGGGACCAACCCGGCAGCACCCCAGCTGCTCTGCCCCAGGCGTTCCCAAGTCAGCCGCTGCCGAAACTGACCCGCAGCTGACTCCGGGAAGCCCGGGGAAGAGCAGCTCCGGTCCG